TACTTTTCCAAATATAGAAAGGGCAGAATGTACCCTTCTGTGTCAGTGCATTCAACTTTTTTTCAATTCACTTTTATCACTTGGGCAAAGTTTGTTTGCAATATTCTTTATTTTAAGTACCAAGTTGGAGGAAATTAAGACTTCCACTCCTGAGCAAACAGAAGCATAGACTTGAAGGGAACCTTAGAGATCATTTGTCCAACCCTTACCTTAACAAGACCACCCTCTACAACTTAACCTCCCACATGCCTCACTTTCTTCAACTACAAAACGGGGTTAATAATAGCACCTGTTTCCCAGGGTGGGTATGAGGATCAAATGAGGTATTTGTAAAAGTGCTCAGCATAGTGTCTGACACATAGCTGGCACTACATAAATAAATGTTTATTCCCTTCCTTTCCCTTTTCTTACAGCATAGCTGAGAAGTAGTTTCTAGCCTAGACATGGAGACCTCTCCCAAGGAGGAACCTGATACTTTTCTAGGCAGCCCATCCTATTTTGGGACACTGATGGTCAGAACCTTTTCCTTCCATTGAAACTACACCTGCCTCATCATCACTCCCATCTTTGGATCCCAAGCTCTGCATCCTAGGAGGGCAAACAGGGCAACCCTAATGCTCTTCCAGAAGTAATGAAACATAGCTATCTTGTTCTCTTTAAGACTTCTCTTCTCCAATTAAGAAAACCAAGTTTCTACAACTAATTTTTGTATTGCATGTTTTTCACTCTCCTCACCCTGGTAGCTCTTCTCTAGATGTACTCAAGTCATCAATGGCTCTCCAAAAACATGGTGGCCAAAAACTGAACTCAATCCAGATGTGGTTTGACTAAAACAGGGCAGAGAAGTACTCTTACCTCCCTCTTTCTAGGTTTATTTCATGCAGCTCAACAACACAAAACTTTTCTTAGATGCTTTCTCACATTGTTGCCTTATATTGAGATTATAATCTGAAAAATATCTGGTGGCTGTCACAGATTAACTCTGGTTTAGCTACCCCCTTCCTTATCTTGTACTGATAGAATTGTGTTTATTTATTTTTTTTAAATATAAATGTATTTATTTTCAGTTTTCAATATTTACTTCCACAAGATTTTGAGTTCCAAATTTTCACCCCAAGATGGCATGCATTCTGAATATCCCTTCCCCTAGTCTGTCCTCTCTTCTGTCTCTTCCCTCCTTCTCTTATCCCCTTCCCCTTCTATTTTCCTGTAGGGCAGGACAGACTTCTGTACCCCATTTCCTATATTTCTTATTTCCCAGTAGCATGTGAAAACATTTTTTTAAACATGTTTTTAAAACTTTAGGTTTCAAATTTTCTCCCTTCCTCCCTCCCCAACCACCCTCATTGAAAAGACAAGCAACTCAATATAGGTTATACAGATAGAATTGTTTTTAAAATTCATCTCACAAGTTGTCCATTTCAACTGTTGAGTTTTTCTGGATCCTCACTCTGTTCCCCAATGTGTTAGCTATTTTTCTCAGCTTTGTGTCATGTGAAAATTTGATAAGCATACTCTCCATATCTTCATCTAAGGCACTGAAAAGAGGTTTTAGGGGATATGACAATTTACTGAAGGATTCCACTAGAGACCTCTTTCCAAGCTGACATGAGTCTGTGGAAAACAATTCTTTGTAGCTGGTCATTCAAACAGTGCCAAATCAAATCAACCTCTGACCCAGGGCCTTTCTTGATTTCCCTGCCCCTAAATGATTTGATATTTTCTTTGTTTATATTTTGTACTTATTTACCTGAATTTATAGTGTCCCCCAATGAGAATGTAGGCTCCTTGAAGTTGGGAATATTTCATTTTTGTCTCTATATCCTTAGTGTCCAGTACAGATGACCAGACTATAGTAGGTGTGTAACAGGTCCTTTATGAATTAAACTTAACTGATTTATCTCTCCCTTGTCTATGAGGACAGCCATCATCTGCTTTGCTGAAATTCAGGTATATTACTGTCTGTCATCATTTTATATACCAGTCTAGGAACCCAACTCTGCTAGGCAGCTAGACTGGTCAGTGAATCCAGTACAGAGACTATAGTCAGGAAGACCTGAGTTCAAATGTGGCCTCAGACATTTATTAGCTGTGTGACCCTTCCTGCCCAAAGTCATGTGTAACCTCCATCTGCCTCAGTTTCCTCAACTAAAAAATGGGATTAATAAAAATACCTACCTCCCAGAGTTATTGTTAAGGTAATGAGATAATACTTGTGGGAAAATGCTTATATATATAATCAGAAGAAGATTTGGCTTTTTATTTTATTTTATTTTTTAGTTAGGCAATGGGGTTAAGTGACTTGCCGAGGGTCACACAGCCACTAAGTGTTATGTGTCTAAGGTCGGATTTGAACTCAGATCCTCCTGAATCCAGAGCCAGTGCTCTATCCACTGTACTACCTAGCTGCACCCTTCCCCCGTTTATATTTTTTAAAATCAGATTCACCTGACATTCTTGACTATCTTTAGTGATTACTACTTCCCTTTCTCAAATGCTAACAAACTACACCTTTCATAATACATTCTAGAATTCAGCAAGGAATAAAAATCAAGCTCACTAGCCTAGAATCTAAAGAGTCCCTCCTATTACTTCACCCCACACCCCTTCCTTTTTTTTTTAAATCAGTACTTCTACATATTTATAACTTTATGGTACATCTCTTTTTATGTAAGTGTGTCACTTCTTTCAGTAGCCCAGGATATAGCTCATGTGGTTAACTGAATTAACTTAGGATAACTAAGTTCTCCCTCAGCACTCCCTCACTTATCTTTGCTGTCAACAACCCGACACAGCACAAAATAAGGGGAGATGGTAAGGAAAAGGGATTCTTCCCAAAATTTATGTTAAAGATCTTGGGGAAATGGGCAGTTAGAGACCATTAAGTTTCATAGTAGGAATGTCCAGTACTTGAAGTTACCTTACTACATAAAAGGAAATTCCTCAATGTGGTATAATGGAAAGAGCAATGGATTTAGAGTCAGAGGAACCAGGTTCAAATTGCACCTCTGCTACTTTCTATCTGTGTGAGCACAGGAATGTCATTGCCACTGAGGACCTCAGTCTCCTCATCTATAAAAGGATGGGGGCAGACTAGATGGCCCCCGAGGTCTCTGCTAGATTTAAATCTGTGATCCTTTGACTTTCTCTAATTTAATTAAAACATAGTTCCAAGTACTTAAGAACCAACTTCTCTAAGAATCTGTATTATCAAACTTCTTGTTTGTTCTTTAGCTCACCTGTCTTTAGGCTAATTCTCATATCACCTCCTATGGGAGAAGTGAGATGGGGCAAAAAGAAGGAGTATCAGTCCATTTTAAGGCTTCTCTGCAGCTCTGATGAAACCAAAGAGCTAAAGGAATAATCACTATGATATTAATTAGGCCATATTATTTACAGGTGAAAGGGACTCAAGCTATCAGTTAGCCAATTACCTACATTTTATAGGAGGAAACTGAGGCCCACAGAAGTGGAAGAAATGGCCCAAGGTCACAGGTAGTAAGTGGCTAGGCCAACATTCCAACTTAAGTTGGCCAATTCCTCATCCAGTGTGCCTTCAACTATAACAGTTTGGTTAAAATCAAGATTTGATATTATAACTACAAATTACTAAAATATACTAAACCACTACTCTCAGCTGCTACAGATTATAACTAGAAGTTGCTTATCCAATATTTATTGAGAATATTTGCTGCAGGACTTCATGGTGTACAGAAACAGCTGCATGAATGTTTGAGTAGAAAAGTATTAGTGAAAATGTAGATAAAATAAAGGCAGGAAATTAAGAGATTTATTCCTAATGGGAAAAAAAAACAGCGGGGGGGAAAAAGAACTAACTTCACTAGGAATATTCTTTTATAGAATTCACTAACCTGAGGGTTTAGGTAGGCATTAGCCTTGCAAAGTATTCACATAGTAAGGGAAGATTCAATCAATAAGCATTTATTAAATGTTTATTGTCTGCAAGCACTGGGGATACAAAGAAAAAGTGAAAAATGGTCACTGTCCTCAAGGGATTAACATTCTAATGGAGTTACAACATATATGTGTGTGTGTATGTGTATGTGTAAATGTATGTGTGTTTATAGTTACACACGGAATGCACATAGAGTAGACAGAAGGTAACCCTAGGACAAAAGGCTCGAGTAGTAGGGGGACTGGGAAAGGTCTCGTGCGAGATGGCATTTGAGCTGAGTCTTGAAGGTAGCATGGGATTCTAAAAGATGGAGGTGAAGATATAATGTTTAACCATTTTAGACAAAAACAACCCCCAACTATCAGGAAAAAAATATTCAATTTTCAATGGAAAATAACCAGCAGCAAAAAGTTATATGTTCCAATGTTCAACACTGCCTAATGAACAAACAGGTTGGTTTCCTTTTTGTTAAAGTATGTTATAAATCACGAATAAGTACTTACCAGCTCTTTGCTCTTCCTCCCCCTCCCACCAAACTATTTCTGAAAATCTCTTTAATTTTTTGGCTACAACTCAGACATCGTTACTTTTCCTACCTTCTTCACTTAATGAAGGAGAATCCTTTCTACCAGCTCCCCTCTTTGTGAAGAGTCTTGCAAGGAAATGGAAATGACTGTTGAGTATTATTAATTTGTATGTGTTATAGATCATTTGCCTGACGTTGGACCTGTGATTTCATCAGAGTAGGGACTTTCTGGCAAGGGAGAGCTTTCTACCAAGGCACATTAGCAGTTACTCAGCAATTTAGAGCTCTGCAGAGGATGATTAAAGACATAAGCAAGGCAGTCCCCAGGCCAAGTTCCTTAAAGTCTTTCTAGTTCTGCTGTTCCCTAATCCAATCTCTCCCCATTTTATTGGGTCGATTCCTCAGCTGCTTCACTAGCTTACTACTATGTTAGAAGCACTGGCAGGTTACTTGGAGCGTATCCTTCCAAACTCCCCCATTTTTTTCCAAATGTAAACAAAACTTATATCATCTATCTCTGAAATGAGAAGCTCCTCCCCTCGGTAACAGCCGCCTCACCTCCTTCTCCTTGTTGAGCAACACCAGCTGGCTATCTGTGAGTATGCAATACCTCCGCTCCCAGGTTGTTGCTTCAGTGTAGGGAGATTGGCCACAGGACAGACGGTGAGTGGGCGGCCCTTTCACATCTGTATAGAGAATGAAAAAAAAGGAAAGGCAGAGCAGCTGGTTAGTGTGTCTAATTACCCATCACTGCAAGATTCTCTACCACAACAAAATGGTTAGGAAGGTATTTCTAAGTATTAAGTTCAAAGATTAAACTTTACTTGTTTGGTTTTTGAACACTTCAAAATATGCAAGCAGTCTGGACAAGGGAGCAAACTGACATTTGGGAGCAACCTAGGACTCAGATGTGAGCTACAGAGAACCAGATGGAAACACATTCATCTTGCATACTTTGTTCTCATTACGTCAAAATGAAAAAACAAATTACTCCCCTAAATTAAAATCAGGTGAAACTCAAAGTAAAAAAATAAGATAAAGTTGGTGTAAAAGTAGGAGGTATGCCTGGTGTCAGGACCACCTCGGAGACTTATTAGCTGTGTGACCCTGGGCAAGTCTATCTCAGTTTCCTCAACTGTAAAATGTGGAAAATAATAGCGCTCTCCTCCCACGTTTGCTGTGAGGAACAAATGAGATGATATGTATAAAGCCCTTAGCCTGGTACCTATTAGGTGCTTATTAAATCCTTGCTCCCCTCCCCCTTTAGGACAGGAGTTCCTAACCTGGGGTCCATACATTTTTATTTTTTAAAATATTTTGGTAATTAATATAATTGCTTTCCTTTGTAACCCTGTTTGTTTCATTTTATTTATTGAAAAACATTCTGAGAAGGGATCCATAGACTTCATCAGACCTAAAGGAATCTTTGACAGAATAAAGCCATTAAGAACCCCTGCTTTAGGAGGAAGGTGCCACAAAGTGGGAGAGAGCTGGGTTGTTCAAGTCAATCCAAGTCAACAAACATCTTTGTGTAGAGAACTGTGACACTGACATAACCACTGCTATTATGGAACCTGTGAGCTGGTAGGGAGAGGGCACAAACACAAATATCTATAGAACAAAATAGCCGTGCAATGTGCTATGTAAGGTCCAAGGGAATCACTGAACGGACTAGGGATCAGAGGAGCATTCTAAGAGCTGAGTGGTATTAGAGATGGCATGAAATATTAGGAAGAGCTTTGGACCTGAATTCAGAAGATCAGCATTCCAATACTAATTCTCCCACTTAAGAGCTGTCTGACTTTGGGGAAAGTCAATTAGCCTGCAACTTGGTTTCCTCACCTGTAAAAAGAGGCTAATAATACTTTTGTAAGAAAATACTTTGTGAACATAAGGTGCTAAAAATAAATGTGAACTATTAATATTATAAAGACAGACAGGATTTCAGCAGCTGGAGTAGAGATAGGTATAACAGGCATAGAGGAAATGACGAGCAAAGTCAAGGATGTAGAACACTGTAGGACATATTTGAAAGGATGGTAGGTACTCCAGTCTGGCTAGGGAAAACAGTATAAATAGAAGGTGGTGGTATGAGATAAGGTCAGAGAAGTGGCATTATACCAAATTATGGCTTAAATGCCAAGTAAAAGAGTCTGAAGGTTGGTCAGGAGCAAAGAAGAACCACTGAAAATCTTTGGGAGAAGAGTGACATATGCAAATCTATGCTTAAGAAAGATAAGTCTGGCATTAGTGTGAATAGTTTAGAAGGAGAAGAAAATAGACATAGAAAGGAGTATTAGAAGGTTCTTCAACCATTACAGTCAAATGGAAATGACAACCTTACATAAAGGTCTTAGAAACAGAAACACAAATGGAGGAATCAATGTAAGAAGCATTATAGAGGAAGAATTGTTGAGACTCAGTAATTAACTGGCCACCAATTGGATTAAGAGATGAGCAAGAGGGAAAGATCAATGTGGGCAGGCCATGCTTGGCAGTCCTGTGCTGGTGCCTCCCACGTCTCACAATAAATACCAAAGTTCTTCAGAGAGACCTTGAGAAAGTCCTTGTTTTAGAGCTCTTCATTTTTCAGGTCTACTGGATTTTGTGTCGTTCACAAGCACGTATATGTTCCGTATACCATTCGTAAGTGGAATCATCTTCACAAGAGTTTGTATTTTTTTTGTGTTTTGACCACATGGTGAGATCCCCACCTGCAGACCAGGGTTAGGTGAAGCTGGCAGTTATTAGAGCACCTTTTCTAGCACCTTCCTCATGCCAGAAAGTGAGCAGTGCGATCCTTAAGAATGCTGCTCAGACACCTAGGGAGCTACTGATTCACACTGCTGCTTTAGTTCAGTGAGAAGATGCCCGAGGCCGTCTGTGTGTAAGGTTGTGACTACAGTTCCCAGGGTATCTGTACCTGTTGCTTCACCAGCAGCCTGTCACCACAGGCCTTCAAAGGTAAAAGAGTAACATAGCAAAATAGCTGAATGGTAAAATAATAAAATAGTAAGATAGTATGGGTGAATTTCGACAAGTGTGTGAATTGGATTTAGGTGAAGTAGATTTATGCAAAGTTGCCAGCTTCACTCTTTCTTCCAGAGTCATCAATGTCCAGTGGCAGGACCAAAGTCAGGACAAGTGGCAATGGCTTGGACACATTGGAGATCTTAGTGTCTTCAATGTCTGACCAAAGCTCTAAGCGCTCCACAGTGCCCGCTTCTGCTGCCTTCACGGCCCACTGGAACCAATTACTCACATTCACCTATTCCACCACGGAACTCTTCACATGGTTGGGGTAGACATCCCCGCTAACTTACTGACGGGTTTAAGGCCTGTCAGTTATCCTCAACCCAGTTTAGCCCATCTACCAAGACGGTTTACCGAAGGTATATGGGATATTCGGGAGGAATGAGCATCTCTGGTATGCGGGCTCGCTGAGCCCTTTCCAGGGCTGCTCATCAAGTTTTGGGGTCCACCTGTCACCCAACTCTCACCTGGCTCCAAGAAACTGTAGTATGTACAGTGGCCATTCTAAATTGAATTCTTTTTTAGCTACCTTATGCTGCCTTTCCTGGTGGTCTGCTGTAAAGGTGTGACTTAGCTCAAAGCTTTGGAACAGCTGCTGTGGGGCACGAGCCAGGGAGTCAACAAGAATGAAGCAGGATTGCTGAAGCACAGTGGAGGCTATGCACCACAAATAAGTTTATCACGGATGAAACTGGTTAAATTTCTTTACTTTTTTCACAGGAACAAAACAAGAGCAGAGAAACAAACTGACATAGGCTATCTACTTTCTTATCCCTCCCAAGTTGTTGGTGTTTTCTTCTTCCCCAAATTATTCTATACTTATTCATCTCATATATAAAATGTAAAGCTGCTTTGAGGCAGGGACCTTCTGGGTTTATAGTTTTAGTACAAGGACCAATCCTAGTGCCCTGCATATAACATGTTCTCTAAATCTATAACCTTGATGGTTCCCTAACAGTAGAAGGTGCGCAATGGAAAGGAACATCACTGAAACAAAAGAGACCCATTTTTGCTGGGTTTGGCTTTTTTTTAGAAGCAGCTTGGCATAGTGGAAGAAAGGGTGCTAGGTTTTGGTGTCAGAGGGCCTGGTATTTAATCCCAATTCTGCCAATGACTTGATGTGTGGCCTTGGACAAGTCACCTAAACCTAGAAAAGACTGATTCTTTGGGGAGAGGGGGAGACACGGAAAGAGATTCTATGGGTAGCAGCTCATGAATAAGTAAAGTTAGAGGGATAGACCCCTGGATCAAGGTGAGGAATGGCAGGAAGTGATCAGAAGGGAAGGAGAAGTGGAACAATAAGAGGGCATGGTTGGAGAGCAGAGGTTCATAGATCTAGAGGAAGAAGGGAGTTTAAGGCCAGCAAGTCCAATCTCTTCATCTTACAAATGAGAAACCCAAGAGTGAAAAATGTTAAGTGTCTTTCTCAGGCTACTGAGCTAGGAACTGGCAGAGCCAGGGTCTGAACCCAGGTCCTCTGACTCCAAAAACAGTATGAGTTCCATGATTCCATGTTGTTCAGTTCTGCAAGACGCTAAGGTGCCAAGTTCAATCATGCTGGTTGGTATATGACTGAAGTAGGGTGGGAAAGGTTGCTTCAGTTAAGCAGACTGGGAAATTGTGTGGTCAAGGTATTAAAGTAATGGTCAACAAGAATTACAGAAGCTCCCAAGGATGATGGCAAGAGATGGGATAAAGACCATGACCTTACTGGCTAAACAAAGTTTTCTGTACTGCTTTTGCCCAAGCTGATGATACTGATGGCCCTCTGAGCTTGAAATTTCATGATTCTATCATTGATAAACTTTCTAATAAAACTTATAAAACATGTGTTACTTGCCACTAGAGGGCAGAAAAACCTTAGAAACAGTGTACACAGACTAAAGACGTCCTGTTGTGTTACATAACTGGCATTATAATGGACACTCCAACCTTATGGAAGGTAGAAAGTTTGATCAATAAAGGGTCTCCCAACTATTCCTTTGATACTTATAAGACATCATTTCCAAATGACATGGTACTACTGTCTTCAGAGAGTTACTGCTTAAAAACTGTTGATATAAATTAGTATTTATGAAGTATTTCAACTGCGAGAAAATCATAAGAAATACACAATCCAGTAAGTAAGACTTTTTTGATGGTTCAATATACATATTGAAATATCTTTAAACACTAGGAATCACTTTATTTCAGAAATATCTTAGGGGAGGGAATTATTTTAAATTTATTATTCATTACTATTTGTGGCTGCTACCACTGGGAGTAATTCAGGCTACAGTAATAAAAAAAATTAAACACTCAAGTAGGGAGCAAAATTTAATGAAAACAATGAAAAAATAAACAATCATAATCATAAGCTTGATATATGTTTGTATTTGTGTGCATATGGTTACTAGTTTAAATAAATACTTGCTGATACTGATTTTTTTAACTTTAGATTTCTTCTCCTTTAGTACTCATTTCTAGGTGCTGCTCTACTGAGTCAATATATTTCTTTTTCATTCTTGCTTTCTGTTACCTTCAGCATTCTCAATGAACCCTTTATTCTAGGGAGCTCTTAATGAGGATATCTTCACAAATCAAAGGCATCTTTGGAGATATTCATAGGGAAAAAGCAGGTTTTCCCATCTTACTCTTTGGGTATGAAAAAGAA